ACACGATCTCATTTTTACATGAGGATGATTTTGCCATGTTTGCATTAACAGGGAAAGGGTTAGGGTTAGCAAACACTCCCTTTTCCTTGCTAACTTACAAAGAATATAATCGAATATCCTTTATTGTCATTGTACTGAAAAACAATACAATGGAATTTAAAAGACAGCTCTCCTAGAAATACTTCCATCACCAACACACTCGCACATCTCACTCTATGCAAATAAGTTAATTAAAAACACAAGAAGCACATAAAATATTAAAATTAGAATTAAAAATTAGTAAAATTGCATTGTGATAGTTGCTCACATGCAATGAGTTCAAGAGCTCATCTGCATCCACACAATAAGATAATAGAGGTGGGGGCAGTGCATTAGGGGGCGGAGAATGAAGTTCTTAAACAGCTGAGGGATAAAAACTGTTCCTCAGTCTCGTGGTGTGGCACTTCAGGGCCCTGTAGCGCCTTCCAGGGGGCAGCAATGGGAAAATATAGTGGAAAGGATGTCGTCCCTAATAATTTTACAGGCCTTGCTGTAACAACGTGACCTGTAGATGTCTTCCAGGGGGTGGAGGGGGAGTCCAGTGATTTTTATTTTATTTTTTTTGTGCCGTGTTGACCACCCTCTGGAGAGCCACCCTGTCTCTCTTGGCGCAATTTCCAAACCATGCCAAGATGGAGTAAGTCAATATGCTCTCTATTGAGCAATGATAAAGAGACTTCAGCAGCCTGGCGGATATGTGGTTCTTCCTGAGGAAGTGCAGTATTTGCTGAGCCTTCTTTACTACAGCAGTGGTGTTTAGACTCCATTGTAGGTTTCTGCTGATGTGAGTCCCTAGGAACTTGAAGCTAGTCACCTGCTCCACCTCCTGGTCTTCTATCCTGAGTGCCAGGTGCGCCTCCTGTCTCTGCTTAAAGACCAGGATGAGCTCTTTTGTTTTGTTTTTTTGATGTTTAAGGATAGGTTATTTCTTGCACACCACCCTGTCAGCCTGCAGACATCATCCCTGTAAGCAGTCTAATCCCCATTTGAGATGAGACCCATGACAGTTGTCATCTGTGACCTTGATGATCTTGTTTGTGGGGTGAGTGGGTGTGCAGTCGCAGGTGTAGAGAAGATGGATTCAAATAAAAATACAACGTAAAAGCTGTGTTGCCATTCAGAGGCATGCAGTGTATTGCAGCTCCCCATGGTAACTTATGCAACCACTTGACACTTCATTGCAAAACATAATATGACTATGTTTTAAGTATACTGAGACTGCCCAGTGTATACATGATCACTGCACGCCTTTGGAGACGGCTTATGGTAGAGAAATGAACATTGATTTCATGGGCAACAGCTCTGGTGGACATTCCTGCAGTCAGCATGCCAATTGCACGCTCCCTCAAAACTTGCGGCATCTGTGGCATTGTGCTGTGATAAAACTGCACATTCTAGAGTGGCCTTTTATTGTGGCCAGCCTAAGGCACACCTGTGCAATAATCATGCTGTCTAATCAACATCTTGATATGCCACACCTGTGAGGTGGATGGATTATCTCTGCAAAGGAGAAGTGCTCACTAACAGATTTAGACAGATTTGTGAACAATATTTGAGAGAAATAGGCCTTTTGTGTACATAGAACAAGTCGTAGATCTTTGAGTTCAGCTCATGAAAAATGGGGGCAAACACAAGTGTTGCGTTTATAATTTTGTTCAGTGTAAAGACCATTTTCCCTTGGATGCCATTTCTGTTTATATAGTAGTAAGCAACGGTTAATATTCTATTAACAAGAGTGAGCTTGTAGGGATGCAAAATTTTGTCTTAAAGTTATCAAGTCCCAGAAAATAAACTACAGTGGGTATAGAAAAGAACTCCAAACATTCACATATTGCTGTTTCACAACCTGAAATGGAAACACCGGTGTCCGTTTATTTTTGTCCTGCCCGGACACCTCTGAATATAATGTAGTCCAGTACAACGCCACTTTTAACTATGACCTCAGTAATGAACATATAATTGAATTTATACATTTATGACAAACAAACTGAAACATCTTGAGCTTCATAAACACAAATGTTAAGGTAGAAGTGTACAGGTGGCTCTATATATACTGTATATAGACCTAATAGTAATCAGGTAATTCTGTATACTATGAAACCATGATTTCTGAGATGATTATCATACCGTGAAAATCTTAAATTCAGATTTATTTGTATAGTGCCAAATCACAACAAAAGTCTTGCACTCTTGTAAAACCCTACTGTACACACATGTATGTTAAGAGAGCATTTCTGTGGTCAAGAACTGTGAAAGAAAATCATGATTCAAGTCTAAATTTTAAAAAATTGTGATTCATATATTGCTTAGCATTATGCAGTCCTAGTGGAAATATACACTGTGATTCTCTGTGATAATTGTAGCTGTTCATTTTAACTCTTTGTAATGTCCCAAACCAAATTTATATACTTTTAAAAGGTTTTGCTCTCTTTACATCATGTGAGCAGACAATGTCACCATATGTTTGGAGTGGAGCTCACTTGAGAACCAAGAAAACCCTGGGTTAATATATTTTCTTTTAGCAAAACACATTTATCTCATAGTAATATGCAGCATAACATTCTGTCAGCGTGTTGTGTGTGTGTATGTGTGTGTGTGTGTGTTTTTTATAATGGATTATTTTTTTAAATGTATGCATCTGCTCCAGTAAGCAGCGCTAGCTTTGTGTCTTTCAGTAGTGCCGTGTGAAGGTGATTTGGAGGCATGGCACCAGACTAAGTGCTGCAGGAGTGACTTCCTTCCCAGGTTTCCTGATCCCTGTCTCTTCTGAAGGCTTTCTGCTTAAATCAACTATTTTGCCCTGCCAGCCTGCAGTGCACCCACATCCAAAGACATCTGCCTACAGCTCTATCAGAGCCCTCCGATTGCCTGCCTGACCGCCCGCCGGCGTCGCTCAGTCAACTAACAGAAAAAGAGGCCCCCTTCCTCCATTTCTGCATGTCCCCTTCCCTTTCTGCCCTATTCTTTTCCTACTCCTTTCTTTGAAAAAGAGCTTTGAACTTTAATATTAATATTAAACTGAAACTTCTCCTCCCCAGCCTAACCCCCTCTGGAGCTTGATATTTGTTTGAAGTCACTGTCTTTAGACTTTGCAAGGACATGGGCCCCACCACATCCTTGCCTCCTTCTCCCTGCATTCTGCAGCCATCTTTTCTTTTGTCCTTGTGAGGTTAATTTGTATGAATTTTTTTCTCTTGTGTTCTCATTTACCTTTCTTTTTCAGGTTCTCTTCCAATCTCCTATCCCCCTCTTGTTTTTTTTTATTTTTATGTCAGTCTGTGACATCTAGTTCCTGCTGGTTGTGTTTTTACAGGCCATCAGTGTAATGGAGGTACCGGTGGTAAAGATAAGAGAAGGCGAGGCGGGTGCTGAAGAGAAAACGATGATAAAATCTATAGTCAATATGGTACAGTACAGTGTCTGCGTCTGTGTGACTGACACTTTAATGGGAACTTACTGCATGAGTCTTAATCACACTGGGTACTGATTTAATGATTGTGCATGGCCAACTCACTGAAGGTGAATTGATCTGGGGGTGAACATTTAAATATCTGTTGTGATCCTTGAGTTCTACATTGCTCTAAAATATCACTGCCACTTTATAGGCTCAGGAGTAGTATTAAGTTATTTGAAAGATTGTTTAGTGTCATGACTTTTGAAAGTATCTGGTTTCCATCTGTTAATACAGAGGGCAGACTGGCAAGCTGTTTCATAAAAAATAAAATAAAATTTGCACAAAAAAGCTTTCATTAGACTGCCCTTGAAGTGTGGTCAGTTGTAGTGCACCTAAAATACTGTGGTTTTTGTCTTGTCCTCATTTATTATTAATATTTTTGCAAAATACATAAATTTGCTTTCTAAGAATGAGGTAATAAGATTAGTCTAGAGTTACAATTTGGTTAGCTTTACTTGGCAACACTAGAAGCAGGGGAAACACGAGTTCAAAAATTCACCTACACTAACACCTTTAAAGCTAACTGATTTACTCATTGTCTTGCTTGTTTAAATTGTACATTTTTAAAAGTGATTTAATTTTTGAGTTGTGTTTGAACTGTTTCTTGACAAACTAAAATTGATTCCTTTAAACAGATTTGTGGTCATCTGCTGCTTAATGCACTGTCTCATTTAGATGTCCAAAGCAGTCACTCAGTCAGCCTCTGCTTGTTGATATAATGCAAACTGATACAAAAATAACCAATTCTTGCGGTCTTCTATCCACATAGCCAAAGAAACTGCATTCTTGATCCTGGAATACTGATTTCATGTTCATTTGATCTGCTTGTGTCTTCCTTAAAAATAAAGCAAATAGCCTAAATGGATTACCCTAAATGTTAAATTAAACTTTTAACAATGTGAATCCTAACAGTGTAGGTTTGATTGTGTGTGTGTGTGTGTGTGTGTGTGTGTACATGTACATCACCCCGCAAATATAACTCAATGAGACCATAATATGTTAAGATTGTGTGTTTGTGTTAGAGATCTGCCTCCTAGTAACTGTCTATAGGGCTCCAGACTTTTATTTTAATGTAGAAGGCAGGCAGGAGCACTTTGAGTTAAAAGGAACATTATACAACAAAATGCAAATGTATTATTCCATAAAAGGCATTTTTTAACATGGTGACAGATATTGTATCGTGGACCTTTTATTGTGGCAACATTGTACTTTTTTTTTTTTTTTTACTCCTAAAATATTCTTATGATATTACCCAATAAGTTACAAACATTCAAAAGCAAATATCCAGTGGTGTTTATAAGTCTTTTGTAATTAGCTGAATGATTGTGTGCTTCTGAATGCTGCATTACTCCATATTGTGATTCTTACTCTTCAGGACATCAACACCCCGTGCATAATGACAGACAACGTCCAGGAGTTTGGAGATGGAGAGAACACAGAATTTGAGACTGTGTTCGTCCTCACAGACTTTCAGTCGTCTGATTACCACTACCTCTACAAGCATGACAACCGCATTGTTGGTCCTCCTGTTGTGCTGCACTGTGCTATGAAGAAAGAAGTAAGTCTTTGATTCACAACATATTTGTGTTAAGCAAGGGCTGCGGGGACATGAAGTGTGTCTAGTTTTGCAGAGATGATAATTAAATTGATTCAGATACAGTATTTCCCCAATGTTGGTTTCTTAAACCCGTTCAGCTTTGAATTCAAATGAAAATAGGCAGCTTCACTGAAATCTTAGCTCAGGGAAATGTGTTGATGCACCAGTAACAGGCTTCAGATGGAAAATGTATTACAGCTATGAACAGGAGTTGTCCCTGCCTACTGCACTGTCTCTCTGTCATTCACATAGAATGCTAATGTCAGACATATACAATATGCCCTGACTGTGGCGACTCAACCAGATGAACTACTCTGCATGTTTGTCAGATGATGACAATGCACACACACAGGTTTACACTGCATTGCAGAGCACCATCAAGATGTACAGCTTTTGATAGCAGGGGGGTCATTGTTTTTGCCGCCATGGACAGTTTGCAGTTTTTCCATTTGACTGAATATTATGTGTTACAGTTGCTGTAATAATAATGAAACATGCTTTTAAATAGGGATGGATGATTTTCAAATATTTGAATAATCATTAAATTTAAAACAATGAAATATTTCATGCAACTGTGGTTTTGTCTTTAAAAACAACGAGCCACTGTTTTCCCTGGCTTTTACCGGTGCCTGGAAATAACACGATAACAAGGTCATTTTACTCTAGCGCCAAATGCAAACAGCAGAAACATGCATAGACTATATGTGACAGTTACCTGCCGTTATATAAGTAACTGGAAAATACAGAGTGCTGTTCTTCAGACTAAATCAATGCCGGAGCATCATACTACTGCAACCCTGGCTATGTGCTTTCCACCACCGTGGAATCCTGGGGACTTGTGGATAAAGCATGTGTACATGACAACATTAGCAATATGGAGCTAGACAACATGGAGAGGGACTCTCAGCCATGTAGGTGGTGTAATCTTTGAATACTTGTTGAATGATTCCCAGTGAATGTTGAATAGCATTTTAGCTTGAAATTCCCATCCCTATTTTTATGTATGTCAAATATTATTAGATTAATTGTTGAAGAACACAATGGCATTAAAAGTAGTAAAATTTAATTTTGTAGTACCTGATTCAACATTTTTTTTATTGCAATAATGTTTGCTTCTCCCTACTCCACAGCCTCTACAGTTTTCATGTCGTCCTCTTTACTCCACCACCATGCTTAACCTGTCGCTGTGCTTCACCGGCTTCAGAAACAAAGAGGAAATGGTGGGCTTATTAACTTATCACAGATGAATTTTAAAAGAATGATAATAGAGGTATTTTATTTGTCCTCTACCTTGCAGAAACATCTCGCTGTTTTCACAGTTTCCTGTGAGTGGAGGCTCACCTCCCCACACTTTGAAAACCCCTGGTCTAGATCTAAAAGGGCCTCATTCACCAGTATCTTCCTGGGTTATTTTTCTTACATTTGTTCTTAAGAAAATTCCTAAGAAAAGTTTGTCTTATTCATGAACATGTTCTTAAACTGCAGAATTGTTTGGCACTGTGTTCTGACAGTGATGAATCCCATTGTTTTTGTAAACTGAAGGTGTGTGCCAGTTGTTCCTACAGTGCCTTGCGAAAGTATTCGGCCCCCTTGAACTTTGCGACCTTTTGCCACATTTCAGGCTTCAAACATAAAGATATAATACTGTAATTTTTTGTGAAGAATCAACAACAAGTGGGACACAATCATGAAGTAGAATGAAATTTATTAGATATTTCAAACTTTTTTAACGAATAAAAAACACTGAAAAATTGGGCGTGCAAAATTATTCAGCCCCTTTACTTTCAGTGCAGCAAACTCTCTCCAGAAGTTCAGTGAGGATCTCTGAATGATCCAATGTTGACCTAAATGACTAATGATGATAAATAGAATCCACCTGTGTGTAATCAAGTCTCCGTATAAATGCACCTGCACTGTGAGAGTCTCAGAGGTCCGTTTAAAGCGCAAAGAGCATCATGAAGAACAAGGAACACACCAGGAACACACCAGGCAGGTCCGAGATACTGTTGTGGAGAAGTTTAACGCCGGATTTGGATACAAAAAGATTTCCCAAGCTTTAAACATCCCAAGGAGCACTGTGCAAGCAATAATCAAATCTGGCCTTTATGGAAGAGTGGCAAGAAGAAAGCCATTTCTTAAAGATATCCATAAAAAGTGTCGTTTAAAGTTTGCCACAAGCCACCTGGGAGACACACCAAACATGTGGAAGAAGGTGCTCTGGTCAGATGAAACCAAAATCGAACTTTTTGGCAACAATGCAAAACGTTATGTTTGGCGTAAAAGCAACACAGCTCATCACCCTGAACACACCATCCCCACTGTCAAACATGGTGGTGGCAGCATCATGGTTTGGGCCTGCTTTTCTTCAGCAGGGACAGGGAAGATGGTTCAAATTGATGGGAAGATGGATGGAGCCAAATACAGGACCATTCTGGAAGGAAACCTGATGGAGTCTGCAAAAGACCTGAGACTGGGACGGAGATTTGTCTTCCAACAAGACAATGATCCAAAACATAAAGCAAAATCTACAATGGAATGGTTCACAAATAAACATATCCAGGTGTTAGAATGGCCAAGTCAAAGTCCAGACCTGAATCCAATTGAGAATCTGTGGAAAGAACTGAAAACTGCTGTTCACAAACGCTCTCTATCCAACCTCACTGAGCTCGAGCTGTTTTGCAAGGAGGAATGGGCAAAAATTTCCGTCTCTCGATGTGCAAAACTGATAGAGACATACCCCAAGTGACTTACAGCTGTAATCGCAGCAAAAGGTGGCGCTACAAAGTATTAACTTAAGGGGGCTGAATAATTTTGCATGCCCAATTTTTCAGTTTTTTATTTGTTAAAAAAGTTTGACATATCCAATAAATTTCGTTCCACTTCATGATTGTGTCCCACTTGTTGTTGATTCTTCGCAAAAAATTACAGTTTTATATCTTTATGTTTGAAGCCTGAAATGTGGCAAAAGGTCGCAAAGTTCAAGGGGGCCGAATACTTTCGCAAGGCACTGTAATTAGCAAAGGTTAATGCCCTGCCAGTGCCCATAAAAGGGCACAAAACTACAGGGCCATGTGCACACAGAAATTTCACATAGATGTTGAAAAGAAAAGCTGAGAAAGGCACGATTATTAAAACGAAAATCTAAAGACCCTTGAGTACTGGAACCAAAACCAAGGATGAATACTCATGAAGAGGAGAACAGTAAATGAGCTGTCCTATTTAGTAGTATCGGTGAATATAAAATAAAACAAAACAGATGCAAAGGATGCTTTTACTCATTCAGTGAACACTATATAAAGAGAAGGACACACAACTGATGATGTAAAAAAAATGGTCTGATCTCAGTTCTGTCAGTATGTGTGCTCTTGAGGTTGCATAGATTCTGAACAAATCCCACTGATGAATGCCAGAATCTTGATGCATACTACTTAACGGGGTTTTAAGAAGAAATTTGTGCCTAAAGCTACAATATGTAATGTTTTTCAACTATTTTTGTTATATAAATGTGCTCCAAAACATGCTTTCAAGGTCACATAGTATGCAAAAACATGGGCTTCATTTTTACTTGTCAACTAAAAAGCACAGTCCAGTCCAGTTGCTGCAGAGACTCTGGTTACTGTGCAGATTTTCCAGTACATAACATTATAAAATCCATAAGTCCATCCTCAGCTGTGTTAACATGGTACACTGTACTGTATAGCTGTGTAACAGTCAATACAAGTGTCAGTAGTTTGTAACTGGTCTGTATAGCCTTATAGTCAGGATAATGCATGAGAACGGTGGCTACACCACTTACACATGGATGAGGATGTGTTCACACATGGGTGAAAAGAGCATCTGGAGCTACTGGTGCTATGAGGAGACTAATGAACTTTATGAACATTTTCAAGGAGAAACTTTAAATAATATAAACCTGAAAAAAGCATAATCTCTGACCTTTCATGTGAAGAGGTGCTGTCCAAGCCTCCTGTGACCCTGACTCATTTAACAGTACTAGCAACAGTGCAGCGGTATTGGCATCTAAAAGGGTATGAGTAGAATTTACCTCTCTAACCAGCCAGATTTTCAACTATTTCTGCTTGATCAGTAAGATTTGTTGCATTCTCATGTGTTGTAATTTGGTAGAGAAAAATCTCTGAAGAGCTGTGCAGAGCCTGGCCGGGCATATCGGACTGTAGTAGAGCAGGGAGAGGGAGTGCTGGCTTGAGCAGAGTCGATTCATTTAAAGTTTCATGCTAGTACTCCCCTAGGTTACATAGTACAGTTGGTGAATGAGGCCCAGTGATAACAAAAGTAATTTGGTGATTAAACATATGCACTTCTAGTATTTCTACACTTTAATAGTTGGTTTTCTGATGGAAACTTTTTAATATGAAGCAGCAACAGTAAGCAGTGTTGGGTTTGCGTCAGCAGAGATTTAGTTAAGACGCTACAACAATTGTGAGAGTTGAACAGAGAGACTTGTAGAAACGGTTTTCTCTCTGGCAACCAACGCAGCCACACATAGGAGGCTGGAGCTGATCCCAGGTGACACTGGGCAAGAGGTGGCGTACACTCTCCTGGGCTTAGTTGTTACCAAAAACAAAAAATGATGGCATCATTAATCATGAACCATAATAGTCTCAGATATGTCTGGAGAAATAAATGAATAGGAATAGAAAAAAGCCAGTGGCATAGCAAAATGCCTGGCACATTCCACTGTGACATTTTTCGTCTTCATGCTAAGCTTCCACTTGGTGTTTTTGTTGTTCATTTAGAAGAACTTAGTGAATCTTGTTCATCACATGGGTGGGATCATCCGGAAAGACTTCAGCACCAAGGTTACACATCTTATTGCCTACTCCACGCATGGGGAGAAATATAGGGTATGTTTACTCTGTTTACTTTGATTTGATGTTTTGCTCTGATCTTGGACTGTTTATCATCTGTGTCTGACATCAATATGGCTGTGCAGCAGGGCTTGGCAACATGTGGGGTCGGGGGGGTTTAGCCCTTTTAACAATATATAATGTATATCAACATTTTTAATATGTACCGACAGATAATGATGTTTGAATTGTTAAAACATGTTTCAACAAAGTAAAAAATGCTGTCAGAAAAGAACTAAGATACAGTTTTTGTCACATAACGTCTCATATTTGTATCCGAAGTATAAAATTCCTGTTGTACTTGCATTGTGATGGGGTGATAAGGAGTAGTAACAGACTGCTATACTGTGAGCACTGACAGTGTTACTGCTTGTGCTTTATAGTTGTAACATTTTGCATAGATAAATAACATTACCTTCCTGTTACTGTCACCCTCATGTCATGGGTACGCATTGACTTATTTGCATTTTGTTTTTCTCATCTCTCTTCACCATGTTTTATTGTGCCCTCACATCTCAGCTTGCAGTGTGTATGGGGACGCCCATCCTCACTCCATCATGGATTCATAGGGCCTGGGAGAGAAGAGATGATGTGTAAGTTGAAAGTCTTTGTAGGAAACCTATGTACCATTTTCCTGTTAAAACCTGTTTTATAAGCAAATATAATGGTGATACAAACACAGACCTAGTGGGTCTGAACTGACAGTAGGAAGTGGAGACAGACAAACATGAGGAGCAGACTGGAATGTGTCCTCTGATCACAACAACAGCCACATCTAAACAGTTAGCTATTAGTTCACTTAGCTTAACAAGCTCACTGTGGTGGATGGCAGACTGCGGGCAAGTTTATGCAGCTTGTTTAGCAGGTGTTTACAATACATGTCCAATGTTTTTAACTGTTCCATTTCTTTTTAATGGTGTATGTTGGTGATATTGTGGAAACACATGGACATACCTAAGCAAAAGGTTATGTTTAAAGTACATGAAAACAAACACAGTTGAATAAATGATGACATGCTTTGATAGTATTCATGTTTCTCCTGCCATCATGTGTTAAGGCACTTCCATGCTGGAGATGAGGAATTTCGAACACAGTTCAAAGTGCCTCCCTTCCAGGACTGTATCCTCAGTTTTTTGGGTTTCTCAGAGGATGAGAAGGCCAACATGGAGGAGAGGACTCTTAAACATGGTTAGTGGTGCAGCACAGTGATATGTCATAGTATTATGTTTTTGTGTTTTGGGTGGTTCAGCGGCATATAGCCACTTTCAGACATGCACTGGAACCATGAGATACTCTAGATATTACCCGGGGGAGCGGTATGTGAGAAAGCAAATGTCTGAGTCGCTCGACCCAGATATTAAGCGGACTTGACTCGGGCAGCTTCCTTAGTACAAAGTCTACGTAAGGTCTGAGTGAGCTAGAGGGAGCCCATGTGAGAATACAGCAGCATATTGTCTGGAGTATTCACACGGAGCAGTGGGTGTGTTGATGACATTCTATCATGTGACCAGTGTGAAACTGGAAGAATTCTAACATCTGATGGTGAAGAAATTTGGTCATTTATAATGAAGACCCTAACAAAAATGTCAAACTGGAGACACAAGATTCAGGAACTTCTGCTGTGAAAAGCCGGTGCCAGAATCGTCAGACAAGGCAAGAGACTAGGTTGTTTATGACAAAATTACAAACTAGCTATTTGACCGCATCGCATCCCGCCTCCTGCTCTCTCTACCCAGGCATTGTCCAGAGTTCATGTTTGTAAATGGCTTATGTTAGAACAGACACATCATTTACAGTGCTTACACTGGTAGCATTATATTTTGGGTTATGGAAAGATGGTAAAAATAATAATGATACAAGTATTATTCTTACCAGAGCCCCGTGTGTGGACCGTTTCATCATGCTAAGAAATTCAGGGATTGACAGACCTGCAATGAATATTTATAGTTGCTAACCTACGATTGAACATTTGCTGCTTGGGGAAGGGTTTTGGCCAATGGTCAGTTATGACATTAAAATTCATAAATCTGACCAGTTATAAAAATAAATGTGTGTATGTATACAGTAGTTGGTCAGTTTCCCATTTTTATTTGGCAGGGTTTTGGGCACACATTTCTGAGTCACTTTTGTACGTGAGCCAACATTGGTACAGCACAAAGCTGTGTAGCACTTAGCAGCCAAGTGTCTAGTTTTGAGCCCTTGTACTTTGGGTACTGTGTTAAAAGGCTAGGACACATCTTGTACACCGTTCTTTCTGTATTCATGTAAAGCTACTCAGTTGTCCAAATGCCCACCCTCTGGTTTATATGTGAATGCATATTAATATATTCTTTGAAAACCCTGTATTTTTGTCTAAGGTGGCAGGTACCTTGAGGTTGGAGATGAGGATTGTACACATGTGGTAGTGGAGGAGAACTCGGTTAAGGAGCTGCCATTTTCTCCATCCAAACAACTCTTTGTGGTCAAACAAGAGGTAGGCCTTTTTTGGCATCGCCGTGGTCATGAAATCTTTTTTGTAATAATAATAATATATATTTATTGAGCCTAATATGATGTACCAGGCATGGCGAACCTCTCATCAGCTTCCTTCCATTTTGCAAAAGTGAAGCCAAAATATCATGAATACGATGGCTGCCATCTTGGCATTTAATAGCCAGATTCTGTGCAGGAGTGACCAGAAATTGAGTGAAGGCATCAAAGCTGTCAATCAACCAAATTCCACATTTCATTTCATCAAATAACTTAAACTTAACAGAAAAATGACCACTGGATCACACATCTGTGTGATGTCTACCAAAAAGACAGAAATCACCTTTGGGAAAAGTTTATTTTATTTGTACTTATCCCATCCACTAACTTGGATGGAGTGGGATTTGGTAGGTGGTCTTGTATAACTTTTCTAGGCATTGATGTATACTCAATGCGCTGTACGCTATTTCCCATTCAACCATTCATGCACACATTCACACACTAGTGTCATCACCGGAAGCAACTAGGGTTGTTGTCTGAGTCAAGGACACTTTGGCATGTGGACTGGACAAGCAGGTTATTGAACAACCAACAGTCTGGTTAGGAGACGAGCTGCTCTGCCTCCCGAGCCATAGCCACCCAAATATATGACCTATACTGAAACTAGCCACCAGGGGGCAATCCGCTTGTGGTGGCTTCACTTGTGATAGCTGTCAGGCTGTCTATTTTTTATACAATCCATGGCCTGAAACATCTACACAGAGAGAGAGCAGGGCAAAGACGGAACAAAAGCCAAGGCTAAACATCGGTTTGGCTTTTTGAGATGGAGAGCATTAAACGTAGCCATAGGTCTCAAAGATGTGGTGTTTCTGCATTAGTATCTAAAACTAACATGATTGTTTTTGTAAAATTTGTGACCAAGCCTGGTTACTGTTGTATTGAAATAAAATGACTTTAATTTGAGAGTAATTCAAGCTTTATGCAACATTAATGCTTTGTGTCAGAGCATTCTTCCTGATTGCCAAATTTATGCTTTAGTCACTTATCTTGACACTCGCTTCAGTACACTTTGTTGTAACCATACATCCATAGTTTACATTATAGCTTTAAGAAATAGGGTAGGAGGGGCAAAAAGTGGTTAGGAGTGGTATTTGGTGTGAGTTTGTTTTGTTTGGTTTGATAACCCTAATACCTAACCCACTAGACCCTCTGGATGAAAAGAAATTAAGCAGAGTACCTTTTAAGTACTGCTGTATCTTGACATTTGCAGTAGGAGGATACAGACACAGTGGATAACAAAAATAATCACCCCTTCCAGGTTTTTCCTCCTAAGCAGAATTCCAGATGATTATCTGATCAGGATTTCTTGAAGCTCAGAATCCACTCAAAACAGTCTCTGCGCTTTCTCTGTGCTGTCATAGTGAGATCAATAACAGATTTTTCCTTCCAGCAGGTGAATAATCTGAAGCAAGACAGAATAGTAGTTTAGCTGTAATTATAACCCCACAATCAATACGGCCTTTTTTTTGCACTGCCAGGTTGATTAATTTTCAAAAGAAAGTCTTTTGTCTTAACCTAACCAGTAAAAACACTTTGTTTGCTTTCTTTGGCAGTGGTTCTGGGGAAGCATTCAGATGGATGCTCGAGCCGGAGAGTCCATGTACCTCTATGAGAAGGTGAGAAAAATTGTGTTGTGGCAGCTCTTGTCTTCATCAGTACATCTGTTTCTGTGCAGGCTTTTTTTTTAATATAAATAATCTTAGGCTATTGTCATGAGTAGTTTTGTCTGCCAGCCTAAGTATAAGTATGAGTACTTACATTTCAGTACTTGCTGATACCGAGCACCGGTACAAGTACTTTATAATAATGCAATGTTTCTACTATAAAATTTACAGGAGGCTGTGCACATTACCCTAAAGCTTTATGTGACAGCAAAGGCAAATAACAAACAGCACTGCTGACATTTATAGGAAATGTAATGTAACTGACTGTCTGTATCCTACTACAAAACATTTTAAGCATTTTAGCAGTGTGACCCTCTGTTAGGATGAAATGATTTCATAACCCCATCAAGAACAAAGTTTAGGAGCACATAATATCACAGTCTGGAGTTTAAATGTTTAATTTAATGAGGCTGCATGCTCTTTCTTTAAATTCTCCTGTCCTGTCTGCTGGACACACATGCTGTGCTGCCGAGGAGCTCCTGGTCTTAGCCTCCAAGTCCACAGCTCATTAGACTTTCCAGTTTGTTTTCTTCTGTTGCATAACAATTCACTTCAGTCAGCAAAATGAGCACCGTGTGGGTTTAGTGGATGAACAGGACCGAGCATTTTGACCGCAGGGAGAGTGAAGACGTCAGATTTCTGCAAATTTGTTCTCGACTTTAACAGGCATTTGATTAATTACTCTCTCCATGACTGTTGGTTTTATTGCACATATTGAGGTGGTGGTGTTGCAGTAAAATACTAACCTCGTCATCTTGTCTGCTATATGTGTGTGCTTGCAACACACAGTGTTACACAGCTACATGACTTGACCCATTTATATCGACAATTAAATTTGTTGCCAACTATTTTTATCAGTTAGTTGTTGCAGCCCTAAACAGAATGAATGTTCTACAAATAACCTTATCAAATATAATATATTCAAATATAACTCCTTTGTAATCACCAACATTTTGATTAGTGGACTAGAGGACTATAATTTTTCTCAGTGTAACAAATTTCAGTTCTTTGTTACTTTCATAACTTCATTACATGTAGCTAGTTGCTCTCCAACACTGGTGATAGTGACAATTACTGCCCTAGGAAAAACATGTATAAGTTTTGAACAAAACATGTTTAGTAATTCCCAGTTTTACAGGATTAAAATGAAGATGGCAGGTCATAGCAGCTCACTCATCTACCGTTAGTTCCGTGATGAATTTTGACACTGGACTCAGGTTGCATCAAACATGAAGACTCAACCATGTTTGCAAAAGCTTGGAATGGATTTCTAGGTGCTGTACCGTTTGTGGAAGGATGCATTCACGAAGCACAGTGTACCCCCTACTTTCTTAGGTCCCAGCTATATCTTATGTTTCTAAATTCCTTAGTCATCTCATCCTATGGTTTTAGTGGTGTTTAACATGAATTTAACATTTCCATTAAGATGTATTAAATCTTGTTTCTTTCAAAAATAAAAATAAAAAACTGCCTCTTATTTTTTGACTGTGCCTGTACATTTCTTTCCCTCTGTACTTTAGAGCGATAGCCCAGCCATGAAGAAGGCAGTTTCTCTCCTGTCCCTCACCACCCCCAACAGTAATCGTAAGCGTCGACGTCTGAGGGACACACTGGCTCAGTTCACCAAAGAGACTGAGATTTCCCCCTTCCCTCCACCACGCAAAAGGTCATCAGCAGAGCACTCCCTATCCATGGGTTCTCTGCTAGACATCTCTAACACCCCTGAGACATGCAAGTCCTTCTCAGGTAAGAAAAAAGTGACAGGGCTGGAAAACGCCTGCTTGGTCCAACCCTAAAATTTCTGTCTTTGATTGACAAGTCAAGCCATTTTTAGTATAATGCAATACCTTTAAGGATGTTTTCTTCTGTGATTGTTAGTTTGCTCTCCTACATAAGAGAACAGTAACAAGATGAACCCCTCTTCATTTCAAAAGACAGAGTAGGAAACTGTTCTGAGAGCAACAGAGGATATACTTTGACCAGGAATAGGATGAGAAGAAGGAAAACCAGGGAAAGGAAGGTTAGGACAGACAGGGGTGAGTGGAGGAAAAGATCCTACCTGATTACAAGTACTCTTCAACAACTAGAGGTGGAGCAGCAGCAGCCAGGAACTTCTACAGGTCAGGTTTTACTTCCGCATACTTGTTATGCTGATATTGTTAGGAGCAATATGGGCAATTCAAGGCTACAATAAAGTAGCAGATGGGAGGATGAAAGACCACTAGTAACATGGTACATCCACAAAACAGTAGTGGATGGACACCTGCTTCAATGCATTAACAACTCTGTCTTTCTCCCTGTTTTTTTCCTCCAGAGAGCTCAAAGCCATCCAAGAGTTCAACTCCAGTTCTCTCCAAGCAGTCAGCCAGGTGGCAGGTCTCCAAGGAACTTTACCAGACTGAGAGCAACTATGTAGACATTTTAAGCACCATCCTACAGGTAGCTGTGTGTCTGTGTGATCACACAATGCACACTTTTCTAATACTCCCTCACAGTTCAGCCTGTCTGTTGCCCCTGACAGCAATTTCAGGCTAAGCTACAATCAACTGTAAAGGTGTGTGTGCTCTAACTTGGCCTGTCTTATCAGTTTGCCCCAGCAGTCAGACACCTGACCAGTGAGGGAGGAAATAACCTGCCTGGACATTTCTCTTTCTCTCTTCCTCCCCTTCACAGTCATTCAGACTTTTACTTCTTTTCACTACCTTGCTTAGGCTTCCTCCATTTTGTCATTGATTCCTTTCCATCCACTATTTCTTCCCCTGTCTCGTTTTGCCTCAAACATATCTATATTTGCCATCTGCTTCTCTTGTAATATCTTCCCTGTTTTTATCCTCCTGAGTTTAACTCTTCCTTGTATTCACAAAAAGCTTGGATTTTTTAAATGAAATGTAGGGTTAGTTCCTTAGTGTTGTGGACTTCTTTGCCTTGTATCTTAAAAATTAATTCACCATATGCTCCTAAAATCTCCTTAGTCCTCTTGGTGCACTGCTGTGCCAAAGCCACAGTTGAGGCTGACTCAATCATCCAGGCATTAGGTAATCAGTGCATGTAAAATAGGAGTGTATCTCAAAGACGATCCATGTTTCTTATTCACTTCAGTTACACAGAAAGGAAAATGTACTTGATATTGCTTATATTTCTGTTCTTACTCTATGCCAGGGGTGGGCAATTAATTTTTACAAGGGGCCACATGAGAAACCTGAACTGTGTTGGAGGGCCGAACCAACGATAACTTGAACTTAATTGGTAAATGGTAAATGGTCTTATACTTGTATAGCACCTTTCTACGCTTTTACAGCACACTCAAAGCGCTTTCACATTATTTGCCTATTCACCCATTCGCACTCTCAAGCATTCACGCATTCACACACCAGTGACATCACCGGGAGCAACTGGGGGTTCAGTGTCTTGCTCAAGAACACTTCGACATGTTGACTGGACAAGCCGGGAATTGAACCGCTAATCCTCTTGTTAGGAAAAGACCCACTCTACCTCCTGGGCCACAGCCTCCCCCATAAAAAAAGTCTGTTTATTCAAATAAGTTATTTCATGTCTTATTTATTTCCTTATGAACATTGTGGAGCTCCCCAGTCTCCAAGTCAGCAGGCCTATACTAAGTTGTTCTTGATCTTCTACATCTGATTCTGCTCAAAATTCATTCATCATCCATTGTAAAAAGCAGTAAATTATATGTGTTGATTAGCTGCTACTGGTAATCAGAAGAATAAGCATATTCTATAAATATTTATATAAATATATGAAATTGTGGTGTAGGTCAAACAGGAAATTACCCCTATAGAAGTAATAAACAGTAAAGACAAAAAAAAAACATTACATCACAGTTCCATTTTATTTTCAACTTCACATAACACTGAAAAGGTGTTTTGCAGTATTGTGAAGATATGCATTTTCAGTTAATTTTACTTGTTCAGTGAGAGAATTCCAGTCTGGCTTGGGCTTGAACAAGTGCATTGAAATCTGGATTTGTTGAACTTCATCACTGAGAATGTCTGTTCACATATGTAGGTAGATCCAACGATTTCCTGCATGTCCTCAACCCTCCTCGTTACAGTGCATCGGGAGAGGGGACGTTCTCATATGCGCCCTTTTTCTCCAGGCATATTAGTGCTGCAGAGTCCAACAAACACTCTTTAATAAACTCTCCGTGAGAAAACGGCTTATTTTTTCTGGCGATTTTGTGGGATATGACATAACTTGTCTTGAAAGCTGCATGTCTGGGTGTGGAAAGGTTTTTGTAAAAAAATCTGTTGGTTATGCAGTTTCACTAGCAAAGCATCCGACTCTCTTGTGTGCTCTTCATCCGACAAGTTCTTGTATTTCTCCTCATGTTTGGTCACGTAGTGGCGATTCAAATTGTAATCCTTGAACACAGCAACCTGTGTACCACAAACTAAGCACCTTTGACTTCTGTAAACAAATACTTTCCAGTCCGTGTCTTGTTGAAAACACTGCATTCGGTATCAACTTTTCTTTTTTTGGCGTGAGTTGACATTTTGAGGGTTAGCTGGCCAACATCACCTGTGTCACCCGGTAGGTTGGGGATCTTAAGTTCACCGGTGAACTTTTTTTTCATTCATGCTCTGATTTGATGGACCTCACGCGGCCCGGACGCCCACCGGATGTGGCCGGCGGGCCGTAAAATGCCCAGGTCTGCTCTATGCCTTTAGCAGCAAACACAGTATGCTGTACTATCTCTGAAAGGCAGGGTTTAAGCATGAAGTGAAGAGCTTGCATACAGTTAAACCAGGCTGCTAATCTTGAACTCTCACAGTGTCCCTTCATGTTTAAAGCTGCATTAACTAAGGTTTACCACAATTAATAAATCAAGTAAAACATTATCTAGAAGTGCTTTTTTACCTGCTGTACTTAACATCGGTTATTTGTGTTATTAAAATGTTTTTGTTATTAAAATCCACACCTTCCACTAATTTTTGCTCAGTTTTTTCACGATTGGTTTATGTCGGACATAACACAGCAGTCCTGCAGCATTTGAGGGAGACTGTTAAAATTTAAGCCATCAACACAACTAGAAAAGTGGGGAGTTTGTTACAGTGGACTATCAAAGCATAGCTTGTAATTTCTCTTGTTTCATATATTGGGTAACTTACAACGAGGGGTAATTTGTGCTGGATCCAGATCCAGCACTTCTCAAATTGTGTCCAGCACCTATTTTTGTCTAGAGGTGGGTGTGATGATTTCCACTAATACACCACAAAGTGAAGAGATGTTAAAATAGAACTTTTTAATTTAACTGTTTAACTGTTGTATTTTATCAGTTCCTCAATAAAAATGCAGTCAAATACAATAATTATTTTCCACAAATACAGTTAACACTATGTTTTGGCCTGTTTCTGCTCGTTCTTTAATACTTATGTTATGTGAGGTCCCTTTGCATTTTCAGGTCTTTTTCATTAGCTCTTGAGTAATTAAAGATGGATAAACACAAAGTGCAATGAAGTGCTGCATGACTTGCTTGTTGATAGGTCTTGGTTTAGGTGGTCTGATGTATCCCTCCCCTGCAGCACAGGAATGCACTGTCCAGGGAAATAAAAAAAGGAAATTGGTCTTAAATAGGCCAACTTTGAAATATACCAGCTCAGATGGGCTTAGTGGGACAGCTGAAGCTGCATTTGAGCCTCGGACAAACTTTGGATGTTTATACAGGACGAGAGGAAGAGAGTTTGTCTTTTTTTTTTTTTTTTAAAGCATAGTCACGTTCCAGGTTGAATTATTCAGGGTCAGTGTGGAGAGTAGAAATGACATTGAGCCAGGTCCAGTCCCATTTCTTAATTTTTACCCCATCCCCTGTTATTGAGTGCTCTCTCGTTTTCAAGTTAACTCTCAAAACTGAGTTACAGTGATTAGTGGTTGAAATCTTCCCCTATGAAATAGGACCAACTCTTCAACACCTCTGTGCATCATCAATAGTTAATGATGACAATTAAGTAAACAGATGTGATGAGTATTCAGAAAAATCACAGTGCTGTGGTGATTTCGCTTGCATTGTCTTTAAGCATCGGTTTGAAATTCACAACAGCAAATAATAAAAACTGAAGGAAAGAAAATGTTTTTGGATTTGTTTGAGGTGTGTAGCATTCAACTTTTGTTGTAGTTGGCTTTGCATCACACACTGTTAATATTGTGGTGGGCTGCCACAAATATATCCATGTATGGGAAACACTGAGAAGGTAGATGCATATATTTGCTGTCTTAATGTAATTTATTACTGAAAGACATTGTTGCTTGTTATTTCAATCTTTTCATTTGCATTTCTGTGGAACATGCTGGTTCTCTTAGTGTGTGTTTCTTATATCTGTTTTTTATTTGAAGCTTTTCAAATTCCCACTGGAAAAAGAGGGGCAGGTTGGAGGACCCATCCTGGCCCCAGAAGAAATTAAGACAATATTTGGCAGCATTCCAGACATCTATGAGGTTCACACCAGAATAAAGGTAATGCGTCTGAAGCACCGAGTTACTATAATTGTGACTTTTTAAAAAATTTTTTTTTTTTTACCTGGTGTTTTTGACCTGGTATTTTCTGTGTGCGACCATCATCTCATCAGAGTGACCTTGAGGAGCTCCTGACAGACTGGTCGGAGGACGGCAGTGTTGGGGACATCATCCTTAAATATGTGAGTTCAAGCAAACCTTGCATGTTCATATAACAAAGTACTATTACTTAACACTGCTGCTGTTGGACACTGATCTCTGGAAGAGTCCAAGGTAACATCATTATTCAAATAACATTACCATTAAAAGTGGAGTCAAATTAGAATTACCTAATATTGGAGGCTGTGAATTTCGACAGTTGTTTAGAACAGCAGAAGAAGGTCAAGCTCACCGATTCTGTATCTGAGTAGGTCACTACGTGCTTCCAGTATTTATTCTCACACTGGGAAATTAGTACAACAGCTTTGACCAGGTGTTTTCCTGCAAGAATAAATTTCAGGAATGTTTTGCCTATATGCTGTTTTGAGTGTTATCATGGTTTGATTATTACATTGCTTTTAATCATTAATTTGTTTGAAGTTCATTTGCTGAGGTTACTACAGTAACGGGCCGTTTTGTAATTATTCAAAAAAGTCCGATATCTGGTAATTACTGAAAATTGTCTTCCACTTAGAGGGCATTCTTTAATCTGTTTGGCTTTTCCTCCTAATGCTTCTGACCTGTCCTCATCTATCCACATTCCAGTCTAAAGAGCTGGTGAAGGCTTACCCACCCTTTGTCAACTTTTTTGAAATGAGCAAGGAGACTGTCGTTCAGTGTGAGAAACAAAAACCACGCTTTCATGCTTTTCTCAAGGTATGTCGTATTTTTACTCTGTGTGGGTGTGTGCATGTGCATGCATGGGTGTGTGACTGGTGATTTGCAAGAGATGGCAAAGAAATGTGTCACTTTCAAAATCTGAGAGATCAGCTTTCTAATTAACACCACAAACTGTAGCCTCGTCAGCCAGCATACAGTTAATGAACATTATCTCTGACACAGGCTACCCAGTAGTTTCCAATCTGTTTGGAACCCTAACCCAACATCCATCCATCCATTTTCCTCCGCTTATCCGGAACCGGGTCGCGGGGGCAGCAGTCTAAGCAAAGATGCCCAGACTTCCCTCTCCCTAGACACTTCCTCCAGCTCCTCCGGGGGGATGCCGAGGCGTTCCCAGGCCAGCCGAGAGACATAGTCCCTCCAGCGTGTCCTGGGTCTTCTCCGGGGCCTCCTCCCGGTGGGACATGCCCGGAACACCTCCCTAGGAAGGCGCTCTAACCTTCAACCTTTTGGTTGGGAGATGACTGCTCTACCCACCGCACCACTGTCGCCTCCCCCTATATTAAAATGCTCAAAAATATGTTCACTCTTTTGCATTGTTACCAGTGTTACTGTGGTTGAAAGCATCAATCAAATTCATGCCAATTGATTTTCAGACAGTAAGATTAAAGAGAAGGAAAAAAACTAGTCACTTTGAAGAGCTGACTGACAAAATTCTTGGTCGGGTACAGCCCTACCATTATCTTTTTATTTGACCCTCGTATATCTGGACTCCTTGTGGTGTTGGTCTGCAACTACTTTCAAATTGATCGTCTTTGAGGTTTACACAAAAGCACATTCTGTCACACTGAACCTTTGATTCTGCAGATCAACCAGGCCAAGCCAGAGTGTGGCAGGCAGACACTAGTGGAGCTGCTCATCAGACCTGTACAGAGACTGCCTAGTGTGGCCCTTCTTCTTAATGGTAGCACACTCCATTGTTAAAACAGTTTTAGAAAAAAAACTTTTCTTGTGCTAATTACATTCCAACTGTATTTTTCTTATCTTTATCCTTCCACACCTGCCTGCTTCCTCTATTATCTACTGTTGATACCTGTCTGCAATTTCTCTTTTCTACTCACCCTTCTCTGTCTGATTATTTTTCTCTTTTTGCCTACTTTTTACCAAATTCTCTTTCTTTCACTGTTGCAGACATAAAGAAACATACGTCCAATGACAACCCAGACAAGATAAGACTGGAGAAAGCAATTGAGTCTCTGAAAGAAGTCATGACGTGAGTTTGTGTGACCTTACCCTTTCTTTTGTGACGATCACACTGCCAACATTTTATGTTAGTTTCCAACACCTCAAGTTAACTCTGTCATGTTCTACTAAGCCTTGACTTTTATGCAAGTTCAACTTGTAATAGTTGACCATTGTTAAGCCAAGATTTAGAAAGAAAGTCTCGACTTATATGAGAACAGAGTTTGGTGAAAATTGGAGGTCATATTCGGTGCTGTGTGAAATTGTGCACAAATCCTTTGAGCTGTAGTCCGAACCACTACTTTTACAATAGTTGATAGGGGTGGGAGAAAAAATTGATTCACATTAAAATCACGATTCACATCTTCTACAAATCTAAATTAATTCACAAATGCTAATGATCAGTTTTTATAATAATGTTGACCAAGTGGAAAAGCAGAACTCAAGCGCAAAGCCAGTGTAGAACACGGACTGTGCACACATTGCAGTCAATAATACACAAATGTACCAAAAAATGGGAGAGCATTCATATGGAAGCTTCTGCATCAGATTCCACCCTGTGTTGCTGAGCACTCCAACCATACAGGAGCTGTCATAAATCTAAGATTGTAACATTGGTTCATCTTCAGAAAAAGAAATCAGTTGCACATGTGTTAGACTTCATAATGAGCTTTGAAAGATCAGTCTTTGATGCAAACAACACAGCACTATTGATGCATCTAATGAGTAAAATTTGTGGCCAGCTCATCATTATAAATGTCATCAAATTTCCACCTGATGGTGATTCTCTTGATGTTTACCACTTGTAGAAAAAAGAGGTGTTTTGTTGTTTTGTTTTCACTACATTATGATCTGCTGTTCTGATTAATTACCCACTGCTGCAAAGTGATTATACAATATGAACAAACTTGAGCAGATGGAACATGAAAATATTGAGCAATTTTCCTTGATAAAAAAATAACTAAGGCAACTGGTGGCCTATCAGAAATCACTTTTGATTATTTTTTTTGATTGAATGATTGATTTATTAGCACTAGAGAGACAGTCCATTCTCTAACTAGCCTGCTCTTTTCCTCTCTACTAGTCACATCAATGAGGACAAGAGGAAGACTGAAAGCCAGAAGCAGATCTTTGATGTTGTGTATGAAGTTGATGGCTGTCCTGTAAGTTTGAGGACTGCTGTTCTTTCATGGCTGTAGTAGCATGCACCAAGTGCTTATCCCACATGACAAAACAAATTGAAATTGTAATGCTTTGCATATTGTCCTTGAAATTGACCTGTTGTAGACTGTACATATCAGTCAAACCATAGTTAGATATTGAAGTGTATTTTACATTTTCACACAGTGATGTTCCTTTCCACCCCCTGCCAGCCAGTCATTAAAGGCATCTCTTATTCATATATATATATATATGTGTGTGTGTGTATGTGTGTGTGTGTGTGTGTGTGTGTGTGTGTGTGTGTGTGTGTGTGTGTGTGTGTGTGTGTGTGT